GGAGGGGCTGTCTCTGGCTGTCGGAGCCCGGGGGGAAGTCCGGACATTTAGAAATTCCCCCCGGACGCTATTTTTAGCTCTAAAATCCGGACATGTCCGGGGGAATCCGGACGAATGGTAACCCTACTAGAAAGGCTTTATTTGAAGCATCTGGTCCAATGATTTTTGAAAACTGCTTTTATGATACATAAGACCATACATTGAGGAAAGACATTGTAGGAATTGGCTAATGTGTTACATTTCATCTACTGGATGGAATAGGACTGCTGAACTGCTGTCAGAGCTCCTAAATTGCTTTGCCTTGAGCTCAAGCGCTTGGGGTCAGGGCTTTCAGAGCATGAGAATGAGAGCTCTATCCCTGCAGCTACAATTCTGATTGACTAGCTATGCAGCATAGTGGCAGCCCTAAAAAGCAAAATTTTCAAGCGCATCTAAGTGACTTACCGGTAGGTTCCTAAGTCAGTTAGGTGCTTTTAAAAAATACTTAGTTTCTAGAGAGCCACAGTTACAGTATTTTGTCTATAAATATATAAAGTAAAAGTTGAATGAGTAGGGAAGGATACATATTTTAGCATATGAATAAACGTATGCTGAGACTTATTTATAATGCTGAAAGATATGTGGCCTTTAGGGGCACCTATGCCAGAAAAGACAATGCATGCTGCTTGCCAAATCTTTTCATTGACAAGTTCACAAAATGCCTAGCTCACCAGGCAGGAGCTACGGGGTTGTTCCCTGTTGGAGGCCACTGTAGGGGTTACAAAAGATGTGGGGAGTTATTTTAGATCTATAGTTGTATTAGACTCTCTTGTACAATTAACACATTCAGGGAGAGGAGTGAGTGATGAGCCTAGATTTCTGGAATGTATTTTATTCTTGTGCTCAAAAAAAAAGACAGACCCTTGATTAATTGAGAATGGGCAGAAGGGTTTGTCACTGCAGAGCAAAGCAGAGTGGAATTATGAATGGTGGGAAGGCCACATCCCAACTTAACTGTCTCGTCCGATTGGTGGATATAGATACATTCATACTTTTGGACTTACAGCAGTGTAACTGACAGCAGAACTGAACCCTAAGACTTTGGGTGAGGAATAGAGCTGGTAGAAAAATTTCCAATGGAACATCTTTCTATTGGAAAATGTCAATTTGAAATCTAAACATTCTGTTGGAACATGTCAATTTTGACAACATTTTGTTTTTGAAAAAATCAGTACTAAGAGTTTTGATTTTTCATTTAATAACTATTTTAGTTTAGATATTTTATTTTTATTTTTGTATTATATCAATTACAATACCAATAACTAATTCTAACCCAACTACCACCTGACAATTACCAATTAGAATGCCAATTCCAAATGGCCATTTGGAATACCAGTCACCAATTTTTATATTATATTAATTATATTATACCCCTAATCTTAACATATTATAATATAAAACATAAAAATGAAACAAACTATTTTAAAAATTGGAATTAAATATTTTTTATTAACCCCCAAAAAATTTTGTGTAAATTTCATTTCATGGGAAATTTTGTTGGGGGGCGGCTTTTTTCCTCACAAAGAAATTCCAAGTTAGGAATAGCACAAGTGAAAAATAAGCAGCAGCAGTTTAGTAAAAGGAACTTTTAGGGGGAAAATGTAGTTGATGACTATGAATACAACTTGTGTTACTTGCAGTGAGAACTGATACACACTCTTCCAAAAGCTGAATTTGACCCTAAATAAACAAATTTTCAGTTTCCTACCAAATTTATTTGAATAGAAATAAATAATGAACCTCACTGCCAGCAGCAAGACAGAATGTTTTTCATAGTTTTCATAAGGCACCAGATGACCTTTATTTGTAGTTGTCGAGCCAGTAGTAGCTCTGTATTTGGTCAATATGGGTTTTCAGTTGTTTGTGTTCCTCAAGAGGAGGGTCTGGACTAGCATACAGAGTGATGAGGAAGGTGGGCCAAGGCAAATCAAGAGGGCTTGAGGAATTCACTTTTACATGTATTGACTCCAACACATAGATGGATTTCACCCTGTGTCTCTGGCTGTGTAAACTTCACATGTGTAGCAGCATCCTTTGACTGTTGGCTCCTGTACCCATTGAAATCAATACAAAACATCCACTTAAGTAGTGCAGGGTCAGAGCTGAGCCTAGTTATTTTGCAAGTGAAGTACATTTCATCCTGTGTGCTTGAGTGCAGCAAAGGCAGGCTGGAAAACTTTGAAAGGCCTTACAAGTCTGTGTATGGGCCAGGTAATATATATTGCAGGCCTGTGGTGCAGTGTGTGCATGTGTGTTTTCTGACATAGGCACTAAAACTAAAAGGGAAAGTGTCAAGTAACATCGGCCCAGAATAAAGGCTTTGTAAGAAAAGATTATACAAACTGAAATAAGGATTGAAATGTTTTTTATGAATTGTGTTTAAATTATCTACAAAGAGGTTTTTAGTTATTTTGTTTAAATGTAAACCAACTCCTGTAATACTAGGAACCCAAACGCTGCACCACTGTGCTAAGTACATAAGCCAGAGGGTGAAACTGACTATAAGCACAAAAGTGTATCTGAACAATTCAATTTCACTGTCCAGCCTGAGTGAAGTGGAGGAAGTAAGTAATGTGCACAAGGAAATGGATTTTGTCTTGTTTTAACAATTTCTTTTGAGAGCTCTCTGGTATACATTTTGATTAAATATAGATTTTAAAGTAATCACCCAAGGTGCATCATAAAGCTGACATATGTAAAAATGTGTAGGCTGTAAATCTGGCTTGGGCCATGCATATGTGCACACCTGAAAGGATGCAGATAAGAGGCTAACTGCAAGACGTTACCTGCACTAATTGTCTAAACCCACTGAAACCCTGCTTTTCAGGCTCTTTGACAAAACATGAGGAATACATTCAAGGGAGGTATGTTATTAGAGCCAGACTTCTGGCTTTGCACAATTGGTGTATATGCCCCACTGCTACCACTGATCTGGAGAACAACTGCAATTGTACAGAAGACTCTGAGCCTTGATTAAACCAAAAAAGTAATTGTCTAGCTCATTTCCTTGTGAAAATAGCCTACCAATAAACTGATATAAACCAATGTAACCCAATGACTAGATTGGAAAGAACAAGTAAGCTGGACTCTGCTTCCTCAACAGGATTCTGAGGGTACTAAGAATACCTCACCTCCTCTCACCCACACCCTTCCATTCCCCAGTACACCTTTTTATGGCACATGAATTGGTTCATTTTGTGATATGATCCAAACAATCATTAGGGATTATTAGTGAGACCATTACTAGAATACTGCATCCAATTCTGGTGTCCACATTTAGAAAAATATATTGGAAAAATTGCAAAGGGTTCAAAAAGCCACAAGAAGGCTGGAAAACATGCCCTACAGTGTAAGATGTAAGGAGCCTGGTCAACTTAGCTTACTGAAATAAAGGTTAATAGGTGATTTGTTTAGGGTCTGTAAGTATCTACACAAGGAAAAGGTTTCCAATGGAAGAGGGCTCTTTAATCCAGCAGGCAAAGGCATAAGAAGATGCAGTGGCTGGAAGTTGAAACTATACAAATACAAAGTGGATAATTAACCATTGGAACAACTCATCAAGGGATATAGTAGATTCTCCATCACTTGAAATCTTTAAATCAGGACTGGATATATTTCCTAAATGACAGAGTCTAGTTCAACAACAAGTTATTGAGTTTGATGCAGGAATTACTGGGTGAGGGTCTATATAGGCTCTATTATTCAAGAAGTCAGACTAGATCATAAGAACAGCCATACGGGGACAGACCAAAGGTCCATCTAGCCCAGTATCCTGTCTTCCAACAGTGGCCAATGCCAGGTGCCCCAGAGGGAATGAACAGAACAGGTAATCATCAAGTGGTTCATTCCCAGCTTCTGGCAAACAGAGGCTAGGGACACCATCCCTGCCCATCCTGGCAGATAATCATCATAATCTCTTGTGGCTTTTTAAAATCTCTGGGCGAAATCCTTGACCCACTGAAGACAATGGCAAAACTCCTGTTCACTTCAGTGGGGGCAGGATGTCACCATATAAATCTGTGAATGTTGCTAACATGCTCCAAAATACCTTTAGATAGTTGTGTGAAAATAGTGAGTTACTTTTGAGGGAGGAGGGGAAGGGAATCGGCTTCTTCTTTGCATATGCACAGTGTGCCTCAGGTGGTATGTGACCCAGATTCATCACTGAATTTGGTCCGCAGTTTGGATCTTAGCTGGCTCAGGCCGGGTACTGACAGGGAATGTGATGTTAGTGTTGATCCAGGCCTCCCGGGGAAGGGGTGACAAAAACTGTTTTTCAGATGTGACCCAAAAATTTTAGACTGGTTTTAGCTCTTATCTCATTTAGCTTCAGCTGCAGTCCCATACACTACATGCCACACAGATTAAACTTGCTCCTGATAAAAGAAATCTGCATAGGTGGCTGAAGGCAACCAGAATCTATGATCTCATTAACAAACAATATTAAGGCTTGAAAGGGTACAGTTTTTCCCGTTGACATAGTTAATCCACCTCTGCTAGAGGTGATAGCTATGTTGAGAGGAGAAACCCTCCTGTTGACACAGCACTGTCTACACTGGAGTTTAGATCAATATAACTGTGTCCTCAGAGGTGTGGATTTTTCACACCCCTCAGCATCATAGTTATACCAAGGTACGTTTGTAGTGTAGACCTGGCCTTATTGTGCACATGTTTGTGGTGCACATTGAGGCCTGATCCTATTGAAGGCAACAGAAAATCTTCCAGTGACTTTAATAGGCTTTGGATCAGTTTAGATAATTTTATGTTTGGAGCCTGTGTGTTTTTAAAATGTAACAGTCCTGCATGTTTTAAAATTATTATGGATTTGCAACCACTTCACATGCATCCATTTCAGACACTAACATTGTTTATTATTGTTGTTTTAAGGTCAAATGGCTGGTGATCACACGAGACTGGAATTCCATAACATAGAGACAGGAATAATAACAGAACGCCGCTACCTGTCCTCTGTTCCCTCTAATTTCATTGGACATCTGCAGAGTCTCACATTTAACGGCATGGCATACATTGACCTATGTAAAAATGGAGACATTGATTATTGTGAGCTAAATGCCAGATTTGGTTTCAGGAATATCATAGCAGATCCTGTCACCTTTAAAACAAAAGCAAGCTATGTTGCACTGGCCACACTACAAGCCTACACATCTATGCACCTTTTTTTCCAGTTCAAAACAACATCACTGGATGGACTGATACTCTATAACAGTGGAGATGGAAATGATTTCATTGTAGTTGAATTAGTTAAAGGGTATGTACACAGCTAACTGTGCCATAAGCAAAATAGTTTGGGTTCTTTTACAGTCTTTAGACATGTTAAAATCATGAGGTTTAGGTTGAAAATCTTGACTTCCCTAATTTTTTAGAATCTGGTTGGTAAACATCCTGTGAATCTTTTTTTCTTTTCAGGCTGAAACTTAGTTAAATATGAAAAGCAAATAATAATATAGTTTGTATAGGACATAGACAAAAAATAATGCTAATGCACCCTGCTGCTTCAGCAGTAGTTAAAAACCTGGGGCTAGATCTTCAGCTAGCATAAGTCAGTGTTGATTTCACTGGAGCTAAGTTCATTTACCCCACTTGAGAATCCAGCCCCTTATACTCAGGATTATTCTCCTTGCTTGCTAGTGACACTGGGGGGGGGGGGGGAAGGAAACAAAATATAGGGTGCCTTAATTTGTACCTTCTCAGGTATGCAAGAAAAACTAACTTTTTAAAAAAAAATGTTCTTTATCCAGGTATTTACATTATGTGTTTGATTTGGGAAATGGTGCAAATCTCATCAAAGGAAGTTCTAATAAACCTCTGAATGACAATCAGTGGCACAATGTGATGATATCGAGGGATACCAATAATCTTCATACTGTGAAGATTGACACTAAAATCACAACACAAAGCACAGCAGGAGCCAGAAACTTAGACCTCAAAAGTAAGTACAATAATTCTTGTGTAATGTGTGGTGGGATACTTTGCAGATGGATAGTTATATTTGTCAAGAGTAATTTAAGTTTATGGTGCCATATAAAGATTACTATAACTGATAATAATTAATATGTCCATGTGAAATCAGTTTCTTCTCATTATTCTTACACTCTCAATTCAGTAATTTTGCATGGTTATGTAAGACCAAAAATGTAGAGAAAAAATTTCAACTTTACACTTGGCAGAAAGACAAGAGAGTGGAAAGAACACAAGGCTTTAGGACCCTGTGGAAAAAAAATCCAATAGCTGAAATTAATAAGGATGAAAGCAGTAAAGGTCTATAGGAATTAAATAAGTCTATAGAAATTACTCTAAAATTCTATACAATTAAATTGAGAATCACATCCTCACTGTAGAATTCTAAAAATTCTTTCCACAGTCCTAGATGCCACAAACACTCACAGAGAGCACAGTCCAAGAGCTGGAGTAGAAGCGTAGTGACATTATAAAACTGCCCTGTCCTTACTTGTGGTTTGGGAGAAATTCTGACCTGAAGCCTGTTATTTAATATTTTCCATAAAGCCAGTTTATTAGCGCTTGTAAATGAGGGAAGTAAATACTGTATTACCCTGAGTGCTCTGTTCGGTCACATGCTAATTCTTATAATTTGGTATAATATCTTGCATGAAAAGCACAGTTTTGTGCTAATTCTCAAATAAAAGTAACATTTTGAAATATCAGATGCCTGCCACATTAAATATATGTGTACATTTGTGTAGGTACAGATCTCATTTAAATATATAACTGTTTTAAAGATAATCTTGTCAACCAAATTTTGTGTGAGTGAGTGAACTGAATAGTAATTCGATTGGCAAGAATGGCTCTTAAGGAATCAATTAGGGTAAGATAAATACAATGCATATTTGAAAGAATGTGTAAATATGTATTTTTAAAAAATTTCTACACATTGTATATAACCAAGAAAATTCATTCTGATTTCATGGTAGAATAGTCTATATTTTATAACTTTTTCTATAAAAAATATATTAGGAGACACAAAACTAATAAATTAAGATGAAGAAATCTACATTTCATAACATTCAGCTTATGATACTAATTGGCAAAATGCAGGAAATTCAAAGTTGATATTAATATTCCATCTTGAGCTCACTGCATTTTCTTTTAACCACCTTCTGAGTTAGAGATAATGAGCTGACCTTGGTAATTACTGTGGATTTTATGATATTTCACGTTTCATATTTCACTTTCCCATCAGTGGCTTCCTTATCAAAAATGCTTTGTTTACAAGTCTAATCAAGATTTTCTAATTGCTAGCGCTGAAGCTTCATTGGGGCATTTGAAAATCAAACTGTTCTTTCTGCTTTCTATATCTTTGCTCTAATTATGGACAATTACAATTCAGAATCAGAATCAGATTTTCAAAGTTATTGTTGAAGAATGAGACAGAAAAATATCCAGCTTATTTTTTCCACAGCTATACTGGCTCTGCAAGTGTGTGTGTGTGTGTGTGACAGAGAGAGAGAATATATATGTGACTATAAAAACAGATTTTGACAGTATATTAAACAGATACAACTTGGAATATGCATATTGTCATGAGCTGATAAGAGAAGTTAAACATTTTTTACTTATTTTATTGTATCCAGCTGCATCTTAATATTGTTCAGATATAGTGTTGTTGATTTTTTGTTATGTTACTTTATAAAAATTAGTTGAGTTAAAGATACTATACTTAATAAGACACTAGAGGGCACTATTATGTCACAAAATATGCTGCTTGGTGTATTCATGGAAAGATAAATGCTCCTGACAGGATAGACTATAAAATCCAACATTCCTTTGTTTTCTTCACATTTGAAATTCTACAATATTCTCTCTGCATGCAAACACATCCATTGCTCATGGATTTGCTAACTTTGAGGCTGCAGAATTTCAATGCACAAATACTAAGGACTATAAAAGTGTATCAACATTTTAAACTAGGGAGGTGAATTATATTAGACACTGAGTTTTTGGTGGAAGTTTTATGTAATTTGCCACACAGCAAAAAATCTTTGGATAAAAGAATAATAATCCTCATGATACAGTAAGTGACCTTGATCAAACAGACTTTCTATCATAATACAGGTTCTCAATCTTTCTCTCACCAGCAGTACTATGTTTTTGAGGGTTTTTTATTTTTAATGAATTAGTATGTCTTGTTTCATCAGCATAATTAAATCATGATATAGGACATCTAAAGTGAGTGGGGGTTTTGTTTGTTTTGTTTCATAAAGCTGATGAATTTTAACAAGTCAAATGGGAGACTGGGCATTCTATAATGGGAAAGCCCAGTTACATTTCACTGGTATTTCCTCTTTCTTTTTTTATTTCCTTTGAATTATTCTTCCATACCATTCTTTATTTCTTTTTAATGACAATAGCACTACTCTATCGTATTACATGCTGATCCTGCAAACACTTATGCATCTGTTTAACATGACCCAGATGAGTAGTCCTGCTGACTTGATTGTACATGTTAAGCACAGCCAAACTTCCACTGGTTCTACCACCAGTTCAACTTAATTGGAGTTAGCACTAGCAGGAACACTAACGTGTACAAAAGTGCTTGCCCATGGGAAGCTTGTATATACCTTGGCCCCCACCAGTTCTGACACCAGTTCAGCTGAATGGAAGCTAAGCACTGGTTGAAATTTTTTTGTTAAATTCCGTAGTGTAGACATAGTCATAATATCCATCAACTGCTGGATATTCAAGTAAACAACAAAACAGGAGATGGAGAGGTATTAGTGTGCTTAGAATCGAATAGATGGGTTATTTCTTTTAGAAGAGAAAATGAGCAGACTGGGTTAATGCCTCATTATTCTGATCTGTTCCTATGTTTGTATGTACAATTATAACAGATAGCCTATGAAGAGAAATGAGTCTTAACAACAAAAGCATCATAATTCAGGCATGCATACCTGCAGAGTTACAGCAAAGGTTTCTTCGGTGTGAGTTTTTTGGTTATACTCCCTATCCTGTTTTCAGTATAGCTCATATGGTTCACACACTCATAAAGTCCAGCTCACAATTTGAAGGTTTCAAAGTTCTTCTCTAAATATACTTTTGCTCCTCTTTGTTTCCTCTACTTGACATTGTGCTCTCAGAAGCCATGCAAGTTTGAGTGACCGACCTGCTGTGTTTAAAATAATTCAACAATCTTAGTGAAGTTGAGGGGTTGCCTGGGTGTATCTGAGGGTCCATCATTTGCAAGGTCCCTTACTGCTGCCAAAGGAAAATGTTGTCCTCATTCAACTATACATTTTTCAACACCTTTAGTCATAGGTGCTGGAACTCGGAGTGCTGGGGGTGCTGCTGCACCCGCTGCCTTGAAGTGGTTTCCATCATATACAGGGTTTAGTTTGATTCAATGGCTCTCAGCACCACCACTATACAAATTGTTCCAGCACCACTGCCTTTTGTAACTCCTTTGTCTCCAGCCTTTGCCTGTGTTGATAAATCCAACTCATGGTTTTGTCTCAGCCTCTTTCTATTAAATGCTTCAAAAGCAGATGTACATCCTCAAACATAACTTTGTCTCCTCTTTCTCTCCTAAACTTTAACCACCCATTTGCCTCTACTGTGCATAATCTTGGCATTATGCTTGACCCTGACGTTAACTTTTTAGGCCAAAAATTAGAATTACTTCACCATAAGAAATTCCAATACTTCAATATTCGCTTTCATCCAAAATCGGGACAAAAAGTTGAAATGTCTTTTTTTTTTTTCAGAATGAAAAGTTGGAATAAATTTTGATTCAGAAATGTTGAAACATTTTGTTCCAGCTCAGATCAGTTTGACATTGACCTGCATCTGCCTGAGCTACTTGTGCAGCCTCAAGGGTATCTCATGGATAGCTTGGGTGCTTCATGCCTCCATCCTTGCTTCAGCTCAGGATCTCTGTCATCTGTGTCTTCATATGATTTTGCAATGTGTCTGCTTTCATTTTCCTTCTCTTCTGCCTCTTTAACAATCTGGGACAGCCTACAGTCTGAAACATCTGAAAGGAAACTGGTCAAATTCACCACTGGTGTAACTCCAGTGATTTCAGAGATGTATATATTTGGCCCAATGCCCCTACTTAGCAATTAAAACATCCTTTCAAACTTGCTATGAAGATTTAGTAGCCCATGTGTGCACAAATCTACATCTTTTACTATGATGACTGGTGATAATGAAATAACCTAATAATATTTTACTTGGCTGTCAAAATATGTTACTCATGCTGGGTGAGTGGATAGAGTGGATAGAATTTTGCAAGGCTGAACTAAACCATCTTGTTAATGGAAAAGTGAATTGTTCTAGCAGTGGAAATTGAACCTGAAGTGATTTCAATTTTCTACAACATTTGTTCCTATTGTTTTATAATCAGCCCTGTATTAATTTTGCCACATTATGTATTTCTCCTTCTCACAAGGTCTCTGTCAATAGCAGTGGTCTTTCCCATTTATGAAGGCTACATCTACACTTGGAACTGGTTTGCGTAGATTTACTTGTGTATCTCACATCAAGCTAGCAGGCCAAAAATAGCAGTGAAGATGTGGTAGCACAGGAGAGTGGCAGCACAGACTGGTTGCCCACATACAAACCGGTTTGAACCCTGTGGGTATGTACTCAGAGCAGTTAGCCCATGCCACCACTCACCACTGCCCATACTACTGCAGTTACAGTACTATTTTTAGAATGCTGCCTCGATGAGAGCTAGCATGAGTGGGTCTGAGACTTAGGAATCACACCTTAGGTAGTGTAGAAGTAGCCTGAGACCCAATGCTTTGTTGAAAAGCAAAGAACAACATTTTATTTAAAAATGAAAACTTGTACAAATGAACAAGCATTAGCCATGAACTTTTCCCAAATCAACATGCATAAGTTAATTCCAGTGATCTTGCCAGAGGGATGTGAACTCTCCATGCAGAAATTGCTTTTTTTTCTAGAGGCAGAATT